TTTTTCTACATGCATCTCAAAAGCCAAATAATCAAAAAAAATCTGTATGTAAAGTGAAAGGTCTACAAAAAAATGCATGTAATGAAGAATAAATCAATTCCCTGAAGTGTGCCTATTATATTTTACAGATCAGATGAACCCTAACTCACTCGGTTTTATCATATTTCTATAAAATCAGGATTTGTCAGCTAAACTATCACATCTACAGGTAAAAGTTCATTGTGTAAATTGCTCTCAAATACTGGATCTCCTACACAGCAATCCAATGTAGTGTTGCAAGATAATGCCAACACCATGTTAGACTTCCATGAAAAAGGAACGGTAACTACAGAAACTTTCAAAATTCAAGTTTGCCTTTAGAATAAGAACTACAGCAGGCTTTAAATTGAAATTTCAAGTAAAAATAAAGCTTTTAAAAACAGCCCTTGAACTCCAAACCTGAAGGAAATGAAGGTTAGGGCATGCATCTGTGGCAAACCCAGGAGTACTGCTGAGAAGCATACCCTGCCCACACATTCTCACTCAGTTCAGTCTAGAGCCCACAAAGTAGGTAGTGCAGACAGTTTACAGATATCCTCAGTATGCACCAAGAAATGCACCCAAAACTTAGAGCAGCTTTAATCAGGAGCAAATGGGTAGGACTTGCTTCCCACAGCAGCCACAGGTTCACCATGCCCACAATGACCTGCTTCATGAATCACAGCGCAAAAGGATGAGTTAAGGGCAAATACAATACTACACTTTTAAAAAATTATTTATATTACTTTCTATTAAACAGTTTTAAATCTGGGACTACAACAGAGCAGTACCTGCTGTTGTGATTCAGTGGTAGAATTCTCGTCTGCCAAGTGCAAGACCCAGGTTTGATTCCGGACACGCACATAACTACAGCAATCAAGGTACCAAGTATCCAGACTCAGTCTGGTCTTTGGATTCTGGTCTAAAGGGGGAATGGAAGGTTTGGGCAGCCTCCACTCCTCCGTACTCCTGCCTAACCATATACATCATAGGTCCTAGTGACCTCACACACATACACCATGATCCAGAATGATCAGTAGTTGCCTACTACTACTACTCCTCAGCAGTAGAACTGATATATCCTGGCTATCATGTAACTTTGAATAGAGCTGTTTAACTATTAATAAACAAAGTAAACAATAGTTTTATTTGTGTAACTATATACAACTACTCTAAGAAATGCTTTATCTATACCTGTTGGTGGTTATTGATTAACATGCAACTGCAACAGAAATGCCTACATTGCTGGCAGGCAGTAACTACATTCCTACAAACCATTGGATGAGCTAAACAAGCTATTAATGACAGGTTGCTCTTCAACATTTAAAATGGCCAGACTGTTGCTTGACCACAAGGACAATCAGGTCATTGCTCTGAAATGTTATACAATGCAAGAGGAACAAACAGGATCTCTCTATTGAAGAAATCACAGGTATAGTAGTTCCACAATTATCTTTTATGTAACTACTCATAGAAAACAGGACCCATTCAGAATTGCAAACATTTTCCTATTTTTTATTTCAAATTTTCCATAACTTATTCAATTCTATAATTTAAGATTTATCAAAAATACAGTGAATTCCACTTTACAGAATCACTGGTTAATAGAATCGGCAATCAGCTGCTTATTTGAATCAATATGGGAAAACCAAAGCCATTTCTATACTATTATGCGTAAAAATCACTCATATTAGAATCACAATTTTTAGGTTTTTGAATCATTTTACCAGGGAAGCCTGGGGATTTTGCAGTTTTGTGAGGAGCCCTCTGCAGGCTAGCAGAGTTCCAGGCTGCAGAGGGCTGGGGGGAGTAGGAGGAGAGTGGTCAGGCAGGGACTACCATGTGCATGTAGATGCACATGGCCCCGGGTACCCTGGAGAGCAGTTCCCGCAATTGTTGGGGGGAGGGGGGAATTGAGCCCCCATAGGGAGGGAAGGAGGGAGTTGCGCAGGCCTGGGGCTTCAGTGAGGAGTGGGACGGGGCTGCGGACAGCATGTTGGGGGGCAGGAGCCGGACTCCCTGGCAATGTGCCCCTGTGTGCACGGTAACTTTGAGAGACACAACCCTGCACTGCTGCCCTCACTGCCCATGCCAGGCACCCCGACCCCATGCACAGATCTGGGGAGTGCAGGCCCCCCCCCCACCCCTCTGGGAGCATGCACCATGCCAGGGAGCTGGCCCCACCCCCTGTGCCCGAGCCCGCAACAGGAAGCTGCAGGTGGGGATCCAGGCTCCACTCCACTGCAGCACCCGCCCCCTTCTGCCTGGGAAAGAGGGCTGTGGACCCTGGTCCCCCGACCCCATAGCCCTGGCACCTGGGGGCCCCCTCTGGCAGGCCTGGGAGGCCAGTGAGAGATACGAGCAGGGCCAGAGGGTCATGGGGGAGAAGCATCTGTGGTCTTAAAAAAAATGGGTCTCCTTTTAATGGAATTAGCAGTTAATAGAATCAAATCACCATTTCCCAAAGTGATTCCAATAACAGGAATCCACCGTAATTTGGAAACTTGCAATTGCATCTTAAACAATCCGACAATAAATCAGTCAGTCATTCTCCCAATTAAACAACGTATGTTCATAGTTTTCTTCATTTTTATACTAATAAAAAATACTTAAACATTGAGTTAGTCCTTTGTAGTCACAGCAACCTATACCTTACCTCTAAACCTGGGAGGGCATACCCACTCAATGACAATTCTTAGGGTACAGGAATGGTTTTAATTTGCTTATCAGAAATAACCAAATGATGTGTGCGGGGTTCTAACCCATAAAAACAACTACTTTTTCACTCGTGAAAATTGTTTTGTTATATTGAAAGATTTTCTAACAGTTTACTGTATATTTGTTGCATATTTCAGGAATAAATGTACTGCTACTTCATTTGACCAAGGTGGCATGTAGCTTAGATACCAAGATGGCAGACACAACAGAAATACAAGTACCAGGTAGCTTCTAACCACATGAGGGAGATGAAGGAGAAGAATATGGATGAAAGGAACGTGCATTTAAATAACAACTTACATAAATGTTATTTCATTTAAAAAGCCAAAGCACAGAAAAAAAAGACTTACTTAACTGTAAATTTTTTAAAACATGGGGGGCAATTTTTACAGATATTTGAAAAAAAAAATATTTTTAGCAGAATGAGTTTGCTATAACAAAATAGCTATAACTCTTCTAGCAAACATACCAGTACCTTTTTTTTCCCCTTTGGAGTTCAATAGACTTACATTAAAATGTCTGATTATAACTTAAATATGTAAAACAGTTTCCAGTATGAATGTCTTCCACATATAATGCAAATCTCTATATCTTAGAAAATCAGTCCCTGTGTTTTAGCGCACATATATATTTAGGTTTTCCAATATCAAAGGGGAAAAAGTCTCCAACTCTAAATATGAAAGCTTCTGTTAACTCTTTCATAGAAAGAGCACAAAATTAATGATTTGATGAATATAAGCTTTTACTAAAAAATAAACTGTTCTTATACCAAAGATCTTTTGATGCTGGAAGCTTCCAAATAATCTTTCCATTGATTTTACCACGCAATCCTAGAGCAAAGTACCAGTGCCCATGAACCAGATTCCTGTTTTTCTAGGGACCACTAAAAAAAACATTCAGCCTCTCCTTGCTCAGCTTGATGGTTTGAGGTGACAACATAAATCATACCTACCTCTTCAGCTATCATACTAGTCCCAATTTAGAAAAAGTACCAGTCACGGTCATCTGTCAGGACTACAGCATCTTTATAATGCATTAAAAACATTTTCTGAACCCATTAGATTACAACAACCTGACACCAGTGGAGGAATGAAACATTTTTAAAATTTAAGAGGTTCAACCAGCATGCAAGAAACCGATGAAACTAGCAAATGAGATAAATTTTTAAACTTCTGTAACAGCTAGACAGAGCCAACTATCTAAATTGTGTATAGAGTCAGAATTCAAGTAGCTACTGAGCTCTGGTCAGGCCAAAAAAATAAAAGTGAGACACAGTTGACAACTATCGCGCAGTATACAGCCTCTACCTCATGGACATGCTGCATGAAGAGAGTAGCACACAAGCTTTAAAATGGTTACAACGATTTCAAAGATTCTAAAATGTAAAAAAAAATTTTAAAAGCATTGCATTAACTCTGAGCAGCAATTAAAAATGACTTGCACTGGATGGTAATCATCATATTTTATGCATCATGGTGGTACACAACAAACTGTTATGTTGTGTATCTTCAAATTCTGTATCAGAGAAATCTCTAACATTAGTACTGAATATTTAGATTAACAAAAATCATAACCCATGACTCCAAAAGAATTCTTTATATGGACTGCTTAATGTTCTGATGATGGCTGATATTAACATACTAAATTCAATGACTTTCAGAGTTGTGACAATACCGTATTTTTCAGTTTTGATCAACTGATTAGTTTTTAATGCTAAGTATGTCTCTCTGCCACTGGTTGGAATATGTTTATTTAAACCAAAAAATATTTTGCATCTCAATTATAATGTTATGTTGTAGCACTGAATGGAATTTAAATCAATACATTATTCATAAAGCAAAGACAACAGAAAAAAAAACTGTGCACTTCTTTCAAAGATTTCAAATTACTAAAACATACAACATTTATGCATGAAATATTTGATTGTTTTTTTTAAACACAAGTTTGTTCTTTTCAGATCAGGATATGCCAAAAATCCAACACCAAACAATTTTTGTTTATAATTAAGGCAATCATCAATCCAAGGATTGTAGTCCATTTTATTTCATCTCTACATCAAAAAAAGTAATTTAAAAAAATTAAAATTCCCTTGAAATGGTGAGATAAATGAAAATGTAAGTGCCTTCACATAATAACAGTAAGCTGACCCACTGGGAAATGGTTGACTTTCTCAATTCAAGGTATTCAAAGCTCATTCAAAAGTGTTCATTTGGAATGCAGATATCAAAGATGATGCAAATGTTCAAGAGAAAATTAGAACTTACCAGATGTTCTAATCCAGCTTTGATGTTTCCAGAGTCCCTGTAAAAGAAGAACAAAAGTTCTAAATAGTTGCTAAACCCTTGTCTATAATGATTTGTGTTTAACTCAGAAATATCAAGAAAAAAATCTCAGTTTCTTCACTATTTTTCTCATGTTTTTAATGTTTACATCTTGATTATTAAAAATCCAAGAAAAAAAGATATTAGTCATATAGAAGCAAAACTTTCCGTTTATTTAAACTCTTGTCTTAAAATTACTGTAACCAGAAAGCAAGGCCCTACTATGTCAAATAGTATTTTAAATTTGAATACTGGTAACTATTGGAGAAAGAAATTTAAATCAATAAAATATAGTGCTATGATATCAAATCCATGTGTAGTTCTGCCTGAGCTTCCTCTACTACAACTTAAGTAACAAATGTGACTGCTAATAAAAAGGAAACAATGAATGAATTGATTAGTAACCAACTAGATGATGGAAAGGAGGTTGGATCTTTACATATTTCTTCTGACACGAGTTGCAAAACTCTAAAGCTCACACCGAACATTTAAGCCAAAAATACAAGCTGTTACCACCTGAGGATCCAGGGTTGCAAGAAAAGATCCAAAAATTATGAATGAGAAAAAGAAGATACTTAAGCAAGGAAAATTCAGACTCAAAATTTAATCCTTAATGCATCCTGGTGTACATAGATATAGTGCTAGTTTGCCAAGCTGGACAAGGATAAACAATTTACCCAGCTTAGTGAAATGAAGTCAACAGGATGAGATGTCTTCTCTTTGCCTCTTCCAAAAAACAAACACTAAATGAAGGCAGCCAGTTTCTGCTTTCATTAACTTCAAATTAAATCTGCTTCTAAACAGAACTGTCCCTTTCTGTTGATAATACACTGCAATGATGCCAATATGGAAAAAAATAACTTTCCAAATAATGAATTCCTGGATTGTATAATGTTGTACGCACGCATGTTCAGTATATTCTTTTACAGTAATTGCTCAATTCTGTGCAAACACAAATGGCAAAACACTCAAAATCCTCTGATGATTATCATAAACGTGGTAAGACATGAGCTCTCTTAATACACTGCTAATTACAGGGGCCATTTAAAGTTGCATACACAATTTAAAGAGAACATATGCTACTTTTGGATACTCCACTTACTTCATGTACTTCATTTTATTTGAGACATTATATTTACATCATATACTTACTAGCACTTCACATTACAGTGGTGTAATGCAATAATCATAAATATCAATATAAAAATCTAATGCAAGATTTCTTTTAATAAATAATTTGGCACTAATAACATTATTCATGCTTTTCTACATGAAGTAAGTATATTTCTTGTCACTGACTTCATAGTAAATAAAGTAAAAAAAAAGTTTGATTCCTCTTAAAATTAGTATTTCTTTTTATAATCAAAACTTACTATAGAAGGCCATACATTATTTAGATAGAAATGAAGTCCTGTACATTTATCCTATGGTGCCAAAGGTCTTAAGGAACTTAATTTATTGGAAAACAGAATCTAAGAAACTGATGCAGGCAGCTTCCAGCTAACGATATAAAACCTGTCCTCTTTAGTGATCTGTCTCTTGTACTGTCCCTGTCATGACTTCATCAATATTTGTGCAACTCCTTTTGCCCTGTGCTGAAAGCAGACTTAATTCAATTATAGGTCTCAAAACTGATAAAATGGTCCTGAAGTGGAAAATGCAAAGAGATTATTGGCAAATGAATAAAGATTTGTATCGAACTAACACACAAGAGTACAGCAGGGTTTTTGGTTTTTTTTTTAATCATTCCCTGTCTTAAGTCTTCTGGGAACAGTGAGTTTCCCTTCCCCTCATGCAGCACATCGATTTTTGAATTAGACTGCAATATTAAATAATTAATATACTTGCCATGATTGATGTTTTGCATTAGTTGAATATTAGGTTATCAATCAAAATCCACTTGGTTTAATGTAATAATATTGAAAAAGTGTCACTGGCTGTTCATCCAATTTGTAGTTGAGGCAGCACAGATAGCAATATTGGTGCAACACACGGCTCTAAAGCAGGAAATGCAGTGGCTGAACACGCATAAGGCAAACATTATGAAACTAACTAGGACAAGACTGCGGTTGTCCTAAATGAACCTTGTGGCACCTGTCAGTTTCAATATAATATCTTTCCTGCCAGAGGCTGCCATGAATCAATCAGAATGACATGCAGTAAAACTAAAACAAAACAGTATCCTTCCTGTTCAAAAACTTAATCTATAGTATAATAAGTGTAAAGTACAACGATTAATGGTATAGTCTAAAAACTGTCTTGTGAAAAATTGGGAACTGATGCTGTGACATAACCATAACACATTTTAAAGCGACTTTCAAACATGAACAAACCAAAGATTTTCATAGAATATATACCCCTGTTTTTAATATCATAAATTACTACAAGTAAGAAGCAAGATCTGTTTTATGTACAGCCTTGTATTACAATACCCTTACTGAATACTACTGTAAGAAAGGATAGCCAATATTAATTTCATACTTACCAATAATATATAGCTTTACAGAAATGACATATTCAGCTACACTTCACTAGTCCCAACAGAAAACCTTTCAAATGATTAGTCTCAAAAGCATAACATGTATTTTTAGATTAGTTGGATAAGGCATTTTGGTTTTTTTGTTTTGGAATTTTGCTTCTCCTCTCTTCAGATAATCTTTAGAGTCATTTCCCTTCTAAAACCATGAATTTATGCTGCAAAAGGTTATTTGACACAGCTATATTTAACAAGTGGGCATTAAATACTGCAAACATACTACTCAAGCTATTCCAAAGGTAAAGTTGGATGAGGAAAAAACTGCAGCTGAACTAAATTTGAATCATAGCTTTAAGGGACCTGTAACAACAAGCCAGGAATTCAAATAAGCAAGTGTAGCCATCTTTGGATTATTTAAACCCATAATGTAGGTAACTAATTGAAAGTGTTAACTTACTCATAGAAGTTCCATTTCCAATAACCTAAAAAGAAAACAGGTTATATACACTGGTATTTGTTGAAAACAGTTTTAAACTTATATTCATAAGAACACATACATGTATAAAGCCAACATTTTGACCAAAATGGCTGAAAAGACTTGAGAGGCAAGGGTTTTTTGTGATATCTTTTACTGGACTGACTGTATTTTTACTGGAGTTGGTCCAATAAAAGGAATCACCCCCAAAAAACCAAACATTTGCCCCTCATACATTTCATGGACCATCATGGTTACAACAAAACTCCAACCCTATAGAAGACTGTGTAATAGGGGTGTGTGAAGTGGGCCCTATTCGATTTGGATTCGGCCCAAATAGGGAATAGTGATTCGATTTGTTGATTCAGATCACTGTACCCGATACGATTTGGCCGAACCCGAATCTGAAGTTTTGATGCTAAAACTGAGAATCAGCAATTTGGACATAGACACAGCTTTAAAAGTTTTTTCTACGTACCTTGAGGTAGCAGCACGGCTCGTGCTAGGGTGGATGGAGCGTCCTACAGGAGTGGGGCTGGGGGTGGGGCCCTCCACATGCTCGGCAGCGAACCCAGAAGTGGACCAAAAGTACTTTTGGTCCACTTCCGAGTCTACAGGGAAGCACGTTGGGGGGAGGGCTCCCCACATCCCCCCGGCTCGGGGATCAGCTGCAGGGGGACCCCAGGTGCTCCCCTCAGACCCAGGAGGCACCAGTCACCAAGACAGAGGACATGGGGGGGATGCCCTGCGTGCTCCCCGGCGGACCCAGAAGTGGACCAGAAGCACTTCTGGTCCACTTCCGGGTCTGCTGCCAAGCGTGCTGGGGAGCCCCTCATGCTTCTGTGGGACACTCCACGAGTCCCACCATTACAGCATTCACAAGCTGCCTGCTACCTAGAGCTATGTAGAAAAAAACATTTAAAGCTGCGTCCATGTCTGAATCTCCAAATTGATTTGGAGGGTTCCAATTCAATTCAGAGAGATTAAAGGGTCCTCTGATTCAATTCGGATTTGAAGATTCGGCCACTGAATACATTTAGGAAAACTGGTGTTTTGCATGATAGCTAAACAAGTTACTCCATCTTCTTACATATAAGTCATCATTGCTCTTTCTTGTTGCCAGAGGCTAAGTACAGACAGTCAAAAAGCCCGAGGCTGAATCTATCCAATCTTTGCAGATTAGTCTGAGATGCATAGATTGAACCAATAAGCAGGTGAACAGACCTTCATTTTCATTCCAGAAATGCAGTCACATGCCTGAATTGGCTCAGACCAGAAGCCAGGAGCACTAAAGCATGCCTCCTTGCTTGGCTGAAGCAGACAGTTTGGACTAAGCCTAGCCAGCCCACCCTGCAAGGGGGGTTTGCAGGGGAGGTGCAAAACATCCTGGGATGCTGGGGGGCTGAGAGTTAACTTGAATCTGGAGGTCATCTGGAACAGAAATTCAATAATCGAATTTAACCTAAATCAGTTAAGTCTGATACTACATCCATCCAGGTTTACATTAAATTTGTTTTGGCCATTTTGAAAGTGGTGTATATACACTGAGCTTCTGTTGTATTACAGCTATGAACCAGTTTCTGATCACTTCTACAAGTTTGTGTGTAACTTTTTGGCCCTGGCCATGACGCCAGTGAACCCCTGTTGCATCCACACTTCTTAGAAAACAAAGCTGCCTGATTCAACACCAAAAGAAAAAGACCCAGACCTGGCTAGAGGGATGGATAAGGACAAAAAACCTTGGGCAGAGGATGGAAAGAAAAAACCCCCTCATATAAAGGCTGGAGGGAGTGAAACTGGGACTGTCTGGGTAAAAGACTAGGAGTCAGGGAGAGAAGAGGAATGAGCATGAGTACAGCTTGGCTAGAGGACTTGGTAAAACAACTGGGACTGAAAGAGCAAACAGTTGCAAGTTTTGGAGCTTTGCTCTTCCTCTCTCCAAGCCCTCCAAGTTATTAAGCTCCACTTCAAGGTAGAGCTGCTTTGGCTTCTGCAGACCTCCAAGAACATGGCTACATTGCTTCTGGTT